CATTCCATTAGCCTTTCTGATTACCTGCTGCCCCTGCGTTCTAGCTTTGAGTTTCATCTACCAGTACTGCCAAGTCCTTTTATGTTGCAGCTTTGTCCAGTTTTTCTCCATTTAGTAATCTGTTCTTTTGTTCTCCCTCCCCAAATGAACAATTTTGCATTTTCCCACATTTTACTCCATTTGCCAACTTTTTGCCCATTTACTTAACCCGTATCTCTGTAAACTATTTGTATCCCTCTCACAACTTGCCTTTCCACCTGTTTCTGTTATATGCAAATTTGGCAACAGTAAATTCACTTCCTGTTAGCGTGATGCAAGATGTATAGGTCATGTGTCTCAAAGACTGGTGAATTGTTGAAAAGCATATCCCTTCGGCTGTGCAACAACATACTTGTTCTACTCAACCAGCATGTTCTTGTAAAACTGAAAGCTTGGTTCAGTGTTGGACTTTGCTAAATTAACATGAGCGTTTTGAAGGATTGCATTGACAAGCATTTTCAAATTCATTTGGTCTTGCGGTGTGGCGTACTGGAAGCCACTTATTAACACACAGGACCCAGTTCTTCACAGACAAAAAGAACACGTGCATACGTTGTATCTGCTTCAACTCAACAAAACAAGTGACAGGCATTTAATTCATTTCTCAGGGCAATGTTTTGGTTAATCAAACAGTTTAAAACTAAGCTTGGAATGTAACTGTCAGTTCTCATCTAACTGATGTATTCCCCATAACGATGCCTCAATCAATCAGAGTCCATTTGCCAAGTACTCCGCGTACTCTTCTAATATGCAGCAAACTTTGTTTGAATTGGCACTCTTGATAAACTGCCAAAAATTATATGCCTCAAACACCTTGACGTTTACTGTATTATAGCGATGTCCGAGTAGTCAGTTGAGGGTGCAAAGTGAAAAGGCTCTCTGCTGGTAAGTTTCATTTAAGGCAAAGTTGCATCATTGGTTAAGTGTTATACTTCATTTACAGCATAATGCAATGTGTATACCTCCTGCATTGTATTTCTATAACTTAGAGTATTTTTACATTGATTGTGTGTACGTCTTGATCAACCAACACACTTCTGGTTTCATAGGTGCTGGTCAATAAAATGTTTGTTGTGCTATAAAATGTGTTGCTTTTCCGTTTACGTTGGTATTTTTGCCAGTTGTCCTGATGAGCGTAAGATGAAAAGCTTTGTCAAAATGTTATCTCCAACAGTGCTCTTGAAGTATTACACAGTTCCAAGGGAGAGGTTAGAAAGGTTTTTATGCGGTTATTTGGATATGAAATGCCCAAAATAAGAATATGTGTCTCAACCCTTAATAGCTGTTAAACCTTAAGTGGTTAAGTACTTTTAAAACTGCACTTAAAATAAGCCCATTACCAGAGAAATGGAATTGTAGTTAACTTAGTAAAGACTGAAAGAACTGCGGATGCTGTAAATCAGAAACAAAAACAGAAGTTGCTGGAAAAGCTCAGCACGTCTGGCAGCATCTGTGAAGAGAAAT